ATGGTGTGATGAAATGGTGTGAGAACGATGAAATTGGTTTTAAAGATGCTTATTTTCAGTGCAATATTATAGTTGAACAAGATTGTGGTGAATTTGAAGAGAATGCATTGCTTACTCAAAAGTTCAGCGTACATTCCCACGAACTTCCTACTCATGACTGTGGTCTTACTCCTACAACACAGGGTCGAACATGGTCAAACTAAGTAAAACATAGTATACTCGTTTATAGGGCGACCCCGGTAAAACCCAGTCAAACCTAGTCGAACTCGGTCAATTTTGACCATAGGTCAAACTTGGTAATGTCAGGTGAACCTGAATTGTAAAATTGAGAATGATTACTTAATATATCAATATAATATGAATATTAAGACTTGTGTTTGACATGCTCTAGTTTCCGTTCATAGTTTACTGAATATGTCGATAAAATATGAATATTTACATATGTCTTTGACATGTGTTAGTCTCCATTCATACAAAACCCTAATTTCACGTAATAAAGGGCAGAACTATCTGAAATACAATTGAACTATACGGTGAACCTGAATTAAAAAATTGATAATGATTTTTTCAAAATACCAATACAAGAGGAATATTCACCATTGTGTTTGACATATTTTAGGCTTCATTCATACAAAACCCTAATTTTTCCCAATAAGGGCACAACTATCCGAAATGCAATTGAACTATACGGTGAACCCGGATTGTAAAATTGGTAATGATGTTCTCAACATATCAATACAAAAAGAATATTCACGGTTGTGTTTGACATATTTTAGGCTACATTTATACATAACCCTAATTTCACCCAATAAGGGCACAACTATCTGAAATGCAATTGGACTATACGGTGAACCCGGATTGTAAAATTGGTAATGATGTTTTCAACATATCAATACAAAAAGAATATTCACGGTTGTGTTTGACATATTTTAGGCTACATTTCATACATAACCCTAATTTCACCCAATAAGTGCACAACTATCCGAAATGCAATTGAAGTATACGGTGAACCCGGATTGTAAAATTGGTAATGATGTTCTAAATATATCAATACAATTTGAACATTTGAACTTGTTTTGACATGTTATGGGCTACATTATAGAAAACCCTAATATCACCAATTAGGTCACAACTCTCTGAAATGCAATTGGACTAAATGGTGAATCCGGGTTGTAAAATTGATCATGAGTTACTTCATACATATATACAATTTGAATATTTAGATACGCATTGACATGTTTTAGGCACTTCTCGTAGAAAACTCTACTTCTTTGTAATAAGGCCACAATTTCCGAAATACAAACACATGTGGTTGTGGCTTATTCGGTGGGCTTGGTGTTTTGTATTATCGGAGACTAAAACATGTCAAACACAAGTGAAAATAGTCATATTGTAACGACATATGAAGTAATGCACGGTCAATTTCATAGTTCGAGTTCACATTTAGTACAATTGCATTTCAGATCTGTGTGCCCTCATTGGGTGGAATTAGGGTTTTGTATGCATGGAACCCAAAACATGTCAAACTCAAGTGTAAGTATTCATATTTTATTGATATGTTAAGTAAACAATAATCAATTTGACAATTCGGGCTCATCATGTAGTTCAATTGCATTTGAGATAATTGTGACCTAATTGGTTTATATTAGGGTTTTTCCAAGAATGGAGCTTATAACATGTCAAAAACAAGTTCAAATATTCATATTATATCAATATATTAAGAACAACATTAACAATTTTACAATTCGGGTTCACCATCTAGATCAATTGCATTTCGGATAGTTGTGCCCTTACCGGGTAGAATTGGGGTTTTGTATGAATGGAGCCAAAAACAGGTCAACTACTACAAGTGTGAATACACATTTGTATTGATATAAGAATATCATTATCTATTATACAATTCGGGTTCACCAGATAGTCAAATTTCATTTGTGATAGTTGTGACCTTTAGGATGGAATTAAGGTTTTCTATGAGTGGAGTCTAAAGCATGTCAAACACAAGTGTAAATATTAATATTTTATCGATATATTAAGTAAATAATAATCAATTTTAAAATCCGGGTTCATTATAGAGTCCAATTGCATTTGAAATAGGTGTGACCTAATTTGGTCAAATTAGGGCTTTCTATGAGCAGAATCTAAACATGTCAAACACAAGCGTAAACACTCATATGATATATTAAGTAATCATGATCAATTTTACAACTCATGTTCACTATATAATCCAATTGCATTTGATCAAATTAAGTGTGGTTATATATTTAGAAACATTTTCATACACTAATTAAGCAGTTTGACCCATGGTCAAACATGCATGATTGACCGAGTTCGACTGGGTTCTACCTGGTTTGACTGTTCGTTCTACTATGTTTGACCGAGTTCGACCAATGTTGTATTGACTGGTTTCTACCTGGTTTCACAAAATTGAATGTTGGTTCTACTATGTTTGACCGAGTTTGACTCGGGTTGTATTGATGGGTTCAACCGAGTTTGACCCTCTTTTTAGATGTTGAAATTAAAAAAAAACACAAATTCACATGACAATATTTAAACAACACATATACTATTAGAGTATTAGTATAATTTAAAATGTCAATATAACAAACGAGTTCATACAAAACAAGTCTATTTAGACAAATCTAAGGTTGATTGAAATTCTAAACAAATATCAAATGCCATCTTGAGCCTAAGTAGTCTAATGTCTTCCGTAGTAATCCCATAAAGGCGGGTATAGTGCTTCTTTTGCATGTCCAACTCAATGAACTTTAGAGCGTACATTCCACGGTCATTTAAAGTCTGTTGAGGTACAATGAGCCGTGTAAAATCCCATATTGGTTTTTTCTCTGGTGTGTGAGATCCCAAACCACTAACTCGTACAAGTATAGGAAACATCTTCCGTAAGTGCATAAATGACTCTCCCAATACAAAGGCATCAATCTCAAAGTTATGATAGTTCTCCTCTATTGACTTTAATGACTTCATCCATTCAGTCTGGGCCTCCAAAGAATCAGGAAGAAGAATACTTTGCACACTCTGGAGTTAAAAATTTATGTAAATTAGAATATTGTTTACTACGGCCAAGTTTGACCATCGTTGACCAAGTTTAACCACAGTTCAAATCACAATGATTATTTGTAATATGACTTATTGAAATAGAGAAGTGAATGAAATTTGTAATATGACTTACTTTTACACCTTCTACAATCTCCTGGAGTTCCTGATTATTCAAGTTCTTCTTTATCTCTTTCGGCTTCCAAAGACAAATGCGGGAGAGACATGAGTAGTTTGTTTTTACTTGAAAGCAAATTTTTCAGCAAAGCCGGTACACACTCCAACAACAAGATCTAACAAGATATATTCAAATAATAATTAATTTAACAAATACCAAAAATAATTTTTTTAATTTAATAGTCATAAATAAAAGTATCTCACCGATATCGAAGCTACGAAATCTGTATAACATATTGTTGGAGCCAGCTCTTGATGCATAATCTCATCCGTCTTCTTTTTAAAATTCTTCTTCAACTGCTTAAGAGACTCCATAAATGCCCATGTACCCCATGGAAAGTCTAGATAGTAGCTATCGACTTGTGCAATGATCCAATCAGGAATGGAATTGTCTCTCTTGACAGGGGCTAAAAGAACCATCACTATAAACACAAGTGATGCCATTCTTATCACTTCAGGCCGTGCTTCATCTTTTTAGCTTTATCATGATGATTTAAATGATTACAAAGTTGGTGAAAATGATTTAAAATCGTGTTATAACTAACTTTATCTCGACTTCTATCACGAAGAATAGAAGGCCAGTGGGTGTCAATAAAATTTGCCCTATCATCCTCATCATAATCATTCTCAAAATTGTCTTTGTCCAGAGCAGTGCATTTCAACCCACTAATTGAAGCAAACTCCTTTAGAGAGTAGCGAATTGAAACTCCCTTCATCACAAACCACGCCTTAGAAGTTCTCTCAATATCCACTATTCTATCAAGTAAAGGATGGGTGTAGGGACATATTGCACGTCTAAGTACCTGCCAAATATAGTGTACCTAAACTGATTCAGTATTCTGCCAAATATTGCACATAAGGATGAGTGTAGGGACATATTCCACGTCTAAGTACCTGCCAAATATAATGGACCTAAACTGGTTTAATATGTCGAGATGATCACCTAACCAACAATTCATTTGTGCTTGAAACTTTCCCAATGAACTTTTTATTGTAATTTTCATGTTTGGGAAGAGTGTAGTGTCAACCATCGAAGATATGAATGGAACCTGAACAAAATAATCATGAATACATGTTCTAATTATTAATTGTCAAATATGGTCGAACACAGTCAAACAAAGTAGAACAAGGTCAAACTGGTTCAAACACGGTGAAACCCAGTAGAACAAGGTAAAAAACAGAAAAAAATAACAGGGTACAACGAGGTCAAACACATTTAAATTCAATAAAAAACTGAATCAAACTCGTTCAAACTCGTTCAAACAAATTCAAAATAATAACAAAAAACAATTAATTAGTTTGAATGTGTAGTTATCTTAATTTCTTTGTTTAGAGAAAGAAGATTCAACTTTTGAGGATCTTCTACAACAACCTTATCTCGTTGAATTTCTTTACTCTCCTTTGAGTCCGACTTCTTCAAAAGATTTTTAGCAGGGCTAATTTCTCCCAATTTTACCAGCCTATGCTTACGCTTAGTCTTATCATCTTCAATCATTGGAATTGTAGGGTTCTTGACCTTCATGATTATTGAAGTGGCACTATTGCCGTTAAGGTCGAAGGAGGAGTGCAATGAAGAGAGTTGTGCATTAGGTATCTTTGGAGGAGGAGTTTCGATATTTTGGTGGAAGAGTCGAAAGGAGTATCTCTAGGTTTTAATAAGGGTTATTTAGTAATTTGACAAGTTTGTTTTATTTAAAATAGAAAATGGGCATTTTCATAATATGGGGTTGAAAAGAAGGTATTCCCTTGAAAATTCCGGTTGGAATCAAGAACCGGGCTAAGAAGTAAGAACCAGTTTTCATTTTAACATTTGCTTATTTGATAGTGCAGTCACTCCCTGCTCACCTCCTCATCGGACACACCTCACATAGACAACGCAGCAGCTCATCTCTCTTTAGCATTTCCCGTTCCTTCTCATCGGCACTGAAAAGTACAAGTCCCTTGGGAAATCCACGCTACCGTGGGTGGAACAGAAAACGAAGATTTTTGGACTTGTGAATCTCGGGAAAGATTGAATGAACAGGAAAACTTGGCATTCGAGCATTTTAAACTGTGAAGAGATAAAGAAAAGTTAATTTTGTGTATTTTTTGCCATTATGATACGGCATAGCCCTGTTTCCCTGTCTTCCCAGATCTATCTTTCTTTCCCATAAGCCCTTCAATGGTTTCCTCAATTTGTTGGCTTGATTTCATCTCTCTCTCTCTCTCTCTCTCTCGAGCATTCATTTTCTTGCCTACTTTGCTTTTACGGTGCATTTAAGGTGTAAAATATCTTTCGCAATGGTATGTACATATTTCCCCCATCTGGTGGTCGGTGAAGTTTTGTCGCTTCTTTGTGCTAAGAAATGCTCAATTGAGGTTGGGGGATTTTAGGACTTCATCTCCCCCACCATTTTAGTGGTTGTGATAAGAGAGATGGGCAGTACTGGGGATTACGGCCCTAAACCCATTGATGCGTGGGCAGGTGGTTTGGTCTGGGTCCGCCGGAGAAACGGTTCCTGGTGGCCAGGTCGGATTGTGAGGATAGAAGAGTTATCGGAGAACAATATGATCTCTCCAAGATCTGGGACTCCTGTTAAGCTCCTTGGCAGAGAGGATTCAAGTGTGTAAGTTATTTTATTTTATTTATATATTCAGCTTGTGTTCTGCATGTTCAATGTAAATAAATTAAATGTGTAGCTTGCAAATACAGTTCCTTAGAGACATCCTGATGGTTTGATTTGCGTGGATAAACCCTTCGCCCTTCATTTACACATACTGTTATTAGAAAAGGTCTGCTTAGTTGACAAAAGAGAGAATCTCCTATCCTATACTTATGGATTCTGGTTACCTGACAAATCAGTAATAATAGGTCCAAATTTGTTCCCCATTGTTAAAATTCTGAGGAAGCCCAAAAGCGGCGGCGGCGGCGGCGGCGGGGGGGGGGGGATTTAGGACGGAGGGAGTATCTGTTTGTTTGCACTGGAATTGTTTAATTGCTTTCGGAAGCACATTGCTTTGTGAGGTCCAAATTTATGTTAAGTTTACTACCAATGGTTCAAATACCAAATATACAATGTTGGGTTGTCTGACAGTACCTGCTAAGCACATAAGTAATCATCCACTGCATCTACAATTTCATTGAGCTTATCAAATTTAGTTTCTTTGAATTTCAATGTTCTGGCTGTTCTGTGTCTGTGTTCATGTTCCATGAATTTTACAATCTATCAATCATGTTAACTATTCACATGATTGATATTAGGGCTATCTCATGATATATCACCCAGAACCGTTTAAAACTCATGATGATGACGATTAGGGAATTCTACTCTCTTAAAAGCATTTTCCACTAACCCCTCTATGATCTTTTGCATAAATTAATGGTCGACTATTATTGAAATTTGCTGATGTTATAGATTTCATTCCACCCAACCCTGGATAATTCAGAATTAGTGAATTACCCCTTTGTCCAAAAAAGTCATGTTTCAAGAACTATCGTTGTCCTAAAAAGAGAGCGTTTTTCGTCTAGATGTGGATTCATATTATTAAGAAACCAAAGTTTACTTTGCAGCTCCAGCATAGAAAAAGTTAATTGAAGCTAAACTCTAAAGTTAGAAGTGTCCTAGTTAATCAAACAACAATAGGGATTAACAATGCCCTTTTACTTGTTAAACATCCCTTCCTCTTATTTGACTTACCAAGGTTTGCAAAAAGGTGCCACTTTATTGACTTATATATAGACACATGATTTAACTGAACATCCCTAAGAGACCTTATATTGAGGCCTAATGCAAATTGGCTTATTGATTATGCACTTGTGAGATACACCGAGCTGCTAAGCCTTCAACCGCCCCATTAACACAGCTGCGAGAATTCAAGAATAGATTTTTCACCATAGTAATTGCAGTACTCGACAACAACAGCTTCCTCATGGTCGTTTATAACTCTACCCCTGCTTGTCTATCTCCTGAGAGAACCAGTACCTAAAAACCTGCTAGTTTGTACAGTGGACAATATTTAATCAGGTCTTAAAATGCTGCCACGTTTGTCTGGTTTTAGAACTGATAAATTTTTTGAGTAAATAACATGTAAATCCATCAACAAGTGAATTTATGGGTATATGTGACGGTCACTTACTCACACTATGACGAGTAATAACATATAAAAGCTTGTACCTCAATTAGTTGACATTATATAAAAAGTTGTACCTTACCAAACATGATATATTATGCCGGAGAGAATACAAAACATCTGGTGGAGTTCAATATTGTATATATTATGGCAGGGACTGGTATAATCTTGAGAAGTCAAAGCGGGTCAAATCTTTCCGTTGTGGGGAGTATGATCAGTGCATTGAGAAAGCTAAGGCTGCAGCAACCAATTCTTCTAAGAAGATTGTGAAATATGCCCGCAGAGAAGATGCCATTCTTCAGGCCCTTGAGATTGAAAAAGCTTATCTTGGAAAACATAATCCCAACTTGCTCTCAAGATTAGATGATGATCATGAGCAGGATAAAGCGGATCATAATATGGAAAAGGTAGAAGAAGATTGTAATAGTAGTTCTCAGAACAATAATTCCAGCTCAGCACCAGCTTTATCTCAATCTGGTGTGTCCTTTGAAAAGGAACCCATGGAGGATAGGGGACGGATCCCAATGGTATGTTTGAATCTCGGAAAATGATAGGAAATGGAAAAAAGTAATGCTAAGAAAATAACTTTCACTGTAAAATTGGACAGTGAAAGTATACAAATGTTTTGGTTTCATAATTTTAAAAGTATATGAAATGGAAAATGAAAGTTAAATAATTTTCTTGTGCCTGGTTTGAAAATGAAAAATTTATACTAATACTGTAAAGAGAATATATTTTTGTTTGGATTTCATAATTTTAAAAGTATAGGAAATGACATAATATTAAAAGTATACACTGTAAAATTTATAGGAAATGGAAAATCAAATATACTAATACTGTTTTAAAAAAAGTATACACATGTTTGGGTTTCATAATTTTAATATCACAGGACTAAATAAAGAGAATATATTTTTGAAAAAATTATCAAAAATGAATTCATTGAGTTTAACCAATGTTTTTTCCTTCCACATTTCTCATATATTTTCCTTCACATTTTCTTTCTCTAGCTTTCTCCAAGTTCCAAACAAACTCGTAATGACTCAGAGGATGAAGGACGTGGTATACGTATGCGGGGTCTTGATGACTTGGTGGGGACAAAATCACAAAAAAGGAAGAGGTGTCAGGTGGGCCACGTTCATGAGTTTCTGAAAAAGAAAAGCCGCCGACGTGCCATGGTGAAGGTTCTGGAGAGTACGGTTCTGGTGCCCGTTCCTGTAGTGTGTGATGAAGGAATTCTCAGTCCAAGTGTTTCATCCGCACATGACATGTGTGAAAATGGGATACTCATTGAAAATGAGAGCATTCCAGAGCTGCGAGAGGATGGTTGTTTAGATTCGTTATTTGATGTTCCATTGGTGACAGAAGAAAAGCATTCCGGAGGTAGTATGCAATATTGCAATATGTATGGATGATGTTGAGATCGTGTTTTACAAATTATGCATCCTTTTCTTTTGTCCAGCTAGTTTCGGAAATCTCACTTTTTTCCTATTGGTATGTGTGTTACACACTGTTTCCTTTTAAAAGAACACTCTTTCATTTTTTTTTGTCTCAAAAAGAGTTATATATCATTAGTTGAGGCTATTTTTACACTCAATAATCAGTAATTTGCTTAAAAAGGTTACCTCATGAAGGATAAAAAGTTGAACCTTGATGACGCATGAGTGCATGACCCTTTATTGTAACTTTTTGGAGAGAGTATTCCTGTTCTCATTCCTATACATTCCTATACATGCCTTGTCTATGTCTTTGTGTAGGTTTTTTTAAATGTGAATCTGATGATTTTTTTATTAGCAGGTTTGTCCCCCCTTGTGTCAAGAGCATCCCAAAAAGCTCAGTCTGAAGCCAGAGCACAATCTAGCCAAAGTAGCCAAGTTGAGACTCCATCATTAAGGAATGATGAGCTTAATGAGTCAGCTGGTACGAGTTCAGCTCACCGTGATATTAGTCAGTGGATGGAAAAGGGGACTACCTCAGAGTGGCAGTCAAAAGGAAAGAGGAACTCAAGGCGGCACATAAATAAAAACAAGACACGAGGTCTGAGAAAAATCACTGACATTGATGGTGAATTCGATGCAAAGTTGGCAGGTATGAATCGATATGCACTTTGCCTTTCTTCTGATTAAACTCGGCCACAATCTTAGTAGGCTTACTTTGGTATTGAGGTTGCTTTGAATCCGCAGTGCTCTAAGCAGTTAGGGAGTGTTTGTACCAACTTTTGGGAGGCACTTTGGTTATTCTTAACTTAAAAAGAAACTAAGCTAGTGTTTTTAAGATGGTGCTTTACCCTAACTTTAGGAACTTTAAAGCTAAACTATTTTTTTGGCTTGGGAATATGATGATATAAAGCAAAATGGCTCACTAAACTGTTTGCGCTTCTTTGTTATGAAGTAGCACTTAGTCCATGCAATTTTCTACGCGCTTTTTCACTTTGGGTCATTTGGAGACAGTCTCTTTGTGCTTTAGTACAAGGGTAAGACTGCGTACATCTGACCCCCTTACCCCACGGAAGGTGGGAGCCTTTGCGGCACTGGGGTAATGATGATGATGAAGTACTTTTATAGTTTACCAAACACTCCCACTTGTACTTTTGTTAGAAGGACTTGCATATTCAAGCACTGCCAGCTTTTACTATTAAGCTCTTTCTCTATAATGTCTATTGTCTACTAATTCACTTCTCACAAGTATTAAGCACAATCAAACACAAAAGAGGCTTTCAAACCATATGACCCAGTTTTTGACAAAATTGTTAGTTATTTTGTAAAGAAGAAACCTCTCGTCATTCATTACCCAACATTTCTAATTCACAGTACTTTATAATTTATATTATGAAATCAAGCACTTATTGCTACAACACATTTTCACACTTGTTTTTTAAAGTTAGCACATTGTAGCAGTTATAACAAATTGACCCTAATTTGTCTTATTGTTTTAGAATGCCCTAGTAATCGAAACCGAATGTGGTCTAAAGCCCATTTATAAATTGTTAAAATAATATTAATATATACAGAGTATTCAACTATATGACTATATTTTATATATTCTAATACAAAATATATATTGGTACTAATATATTTTATGGTTGAAACCCCATACTGGTTTTCTCTCTCCCTACTTAAACCTGCGAGTCCTTGATTACTACCTATGGAATCCCATCCCCTTAAGGTTGGGGTGAATTGGTACCCTCAATCACTCAGACCGCTGCCATCTTTATAAATAGTATGCACTTGCCTTTACTCTGAAAGTTGACTGCAATCTGACTCGTCTTGTTGTCTCAGAATGCCCTAAGTATCACAAGTCAATACCGGTCATGGAGTTTGAGAAGCACAAAGGACCTGCAATGGAGTCACCCATGCCACAGAGGTTACTGCCACACCGTCAGTCCCGTTTTGTGGTCAACCCAAAGTATGATTCCTCGGCTTTCTGTCTCAGGCATCATATATCCGATTCTTCATTGTATGATGTCAATGTGGAGGTGAAGTCCAGCTATCGCCCACAGCATGTTCCTTACGTTTCATTAATGACCAAACATAACGGGCGGCCCATCGTGGGCCACCCGATCACTGTTGAAGTATTAGAAGAAACTGGGCCAGGATTGGAATGTTTTAGGACTCCTACTAAGAACTGTGTATTAGCAACTAAGTCACTGAAATCAAAGAAGATTAGGACATTGTCTTCATTAACAGGTTCTCAGAAGCAAATTCAAGGTAAGAAAGTGTTAGTAGTAAAGCCTAAAGGCCCTGCTGTAGCATGTGTGCCTTTGAAAGTAGTGTTCAGCAGAATAAGTGAAGCATTGATGAATAGTCCAATCAGGGCTGCCCACCTGGTGATAGGGCCCACTATTGTGTGATTATACTTCATTCTTTGCCTGCTTTAGCTCTGCACATATAAACCCTGTACAATTAGTTGAGGTGTAAAGAATGGTAATCCAATTTTTAGGCTTTGGTGATTAGTTGAGTCATATCCAGTATTTAGTTTATGCTGCTACAACTGCTACTTGTACACATTGAACTGACACTGTAATTGTTTTTATTTCTTTGTAATTAATATTTAATATTGTGTTACTTTTGGTTTCAAAAATGAATGATATTCTCTTGCTTTGATAATTTTTAAGAATGAAAGTGTGCAGGTTCCTCCTCACAAATGAACACAAGTTCGGTTCTCAGACCAGCCAGTCCACAGTACACTGGGGGGATCGCTCCTGGAATCTCCAGTGTCGATTGGTTCTGCAGCCGGTTCTGTCTAAACTTTCCCCATTCAAAGATGTTTTATTACAAATTAAAATATATTGTTTATTTTAAAAAATAAAGTATTACAAATTAAGATGATAAAATATAAACAAATTGAGTGTCTAAAATTGAGTAAAAGACACAATTTTAGAACAAATGGCTTGCACTTTTCATCATCTTCTAATGTGACAGCATCTTCTTGGTTACCCTTAGCCCCTTGTGTCGGTATGAAAAGCCCTTGCCGCCAATACGTTTGATATTTGGGCATTGGACATGACATCTCTAGCAGATTTGGAATCATATCATGAGTCGAATCTCGAAAGATTTATTTGTGTTACAGCCTCAAGTCCTTAACAGTCTCACCTAGGGGGCGATTTCCACATGCATGTGACGAAGATGAAGTAATAAGAATTCATTTCTCACGGATAGGCTTGGACCCGGTTCGGGCCACCCGGCCTGGGAACCGGCCCGGTCCAGTACTGTTTGGGCCCGGCCCGGGAATCGTGTACCGGTACCGGGTCTAGGCCTGGTTTGAATGGGAAACCGGGGGCGGGTATGAGCTGAAGGAATTGAGAACCGGCCCGTCCGGTTCCGGGCCCGGTTTGGGCCTTTTCATTTTTTTTTTGGTTTGGTTCTTTGGGTTGAGTTCAAATGGGCTGGAATGGGTTTTCAGATGGGTTTGTGGTTTGTGGGATGGGGGGGGGGGGGGGGCTAGGGGGTAGGGGATAAAATAATCAAGAAAACCCAAAAAAAGAATATAACCGGACCCGACCTGGCCCGGGCCCGGACTGGCACCAGTCAACTATTGGGCCGGTCTCGGGCCTCACTGAATTTTTTTTTGCCCGGGGCCCCGGGCAGGCCTAGGCCTGACCCGGAACCGGGCCCGGTTGAGTCCAACACTACTCACGATTATATGAAAGATTATTCATGTCAATTAATTTTATAACATTCAATATATGATTATATAAAGTTTAATTAGTTATACAATATCCCAAATACAATTTCAAATGTTACAAGCTAAATGTCACAACTAACAAGTAATAAAAACTACTGCGTAATAAGTACCAGTAACTTGTAAAATTATACAGAATAAGAAGCATTTATTACTCGGTAGTAATAAATATTAAAGCAAGTAATAAGTAGTTTTAAAATGAGTACATTATACTAATTTTAAAACGGAGTATAAAAAAGGCTTGAATATGTTTTTGGTCCTTGTAATTATAGCGTGTTTTGATTTAGGTCCTGTAAAACAAAAACTTTGTTCTTAATCCCTGGAATTTATGTCGTCATCTGTTATCATCCCCGACATTAACTTCCGTTACAAAAGCTGACATGGCGGTTAAATGCCATTATTAATTATACCATGTCACACTGATCGTATGGTATACAGAGTATAATAAAGCTTCTGATTTATTTTCCCACTAATTCCATACTTAAAAAATTACTCTGGTTCTCCATCTTATCTTCTATATGTCATGTGTGGCTCAAATCCTTTTTCATAACTCTTCTTCCCAACTCATCCTCTCCTATTTGGAAAATTTTTCCTTTGATTCCGAGTTGAAATTGACAACTGGTTCGCCGGCGGCTTTCTGAATGGTTTCTCTTCAAGATTTTTTGTCACATGCCGGTTCCAGCAGAGAGCTTCACCCAAACGCATGATTACTAGGTCGAATCTCTACCAAAGAGGATGCGTCACTTCTGAACTGGGGGTTTCGTTTTCCGAATTTGATTACTACGAAGATCGGTACTACCGGCCTGGTGAAGGAGAACACAAGCAGTGGACGGGACTCTCGCTTTCGATAGGCTCGTTTGGCGAGGCTGGATTGCGGGCGAAAAAAAAAAGGAACATGGATAAATTCGTTTGGGATTCGGGCGAATGATCGAAGAAGGATTGAATGGAGGATATTGTCAACATATATAAGAAGATGGCTATTGATGAACATGAGAACGAACTCAATTTTGATGAGGAGGCGGCAGAGGACGTCGAGGAGGTGGACGAACCGAGAGTCTTCCCGGTGGTCGGGGTCGTAGTCACGGACCGAAAGGTCAAATTGCCGGGATTCCAAGAGCTGCTGTCTTCGATCTGGCGTCTAGGGAAAGGTATGTCCTTCAGGGAGATTGAAGAAAAAATGTATCTTTTTATTTTCAATCATGTTTTGGATATGAATCGTGTGCTTAAGGATGGCCCATGGCTGTTTGAACGTGATCTAATCCTGTTGAAAGCTGTTCAGCCAGATGACATACCTGAATCAATGAATTTTTTTGAGGTTAGTTTTTGGGCACAAGTTCATAACGCACCTATTAAATTTAGAAATTTGGGATCTACCAGGAAAATTGGGAATTTTTTAGACTCGTTTATTAAATTTGATAAGAGCCAATTTTAAGGCAAGCAGAAATCCTACCTGCGCATAAGACTTTGTATGGATGTGCGAAGGCCTTTGAAAAAGGGTACTACCTTGACAGAGGATGGGGTTAAGCACTGGGTGGAGTTTAAATATGAAAAGCTACCCAGTTTCTGTTTTATGTGTGAGAAATCGGACATTCTGATAAATTTTGTCCATTGAAGTATGAAGATGGTCTTGTTTTTGAGGATTCTTTTGGGGTGGACCTCAGAGCAGGAGGAAGAGTGAAGACCAGCTCTACAGGACCCAATAAGTGTTTGTTTAATGTAGCTTCTAGTTCGGGTGGATATGGACAACAACGGAAGTCTGATCTCGGGGGGGAGAGTATTCGGCCGAGTAAGAGGCTAGCATACCCCAGCAGGACGGGACGGAAGATAAGGAAGAAACCCCGGGTGACACAAAGCGAAGGAGGATCTAGGAAAGCCAATTCGCCAAAGGAGGCACAACTGGTGAAGGAATGGCTCTTGACGGGCCAAAAAATGGGGATGCGGCGGGTCAATTTCTTTAGACCGTCGAGTTTTCATATGGTGGTGGTGATGAAGAAGACAAGTGATGGTGTTATTTTTATTGTTTCTTTATTTACTTTTATCATGGTTGGATTGTTTTTCTTTTCTTTTGTGTTTTTATGCTCTGTAAGACTCTTGCATTAGGTTTTGGGGATGAGAGGTCCAATATTGGCCGAGCACCCTAATTGGTGGCCAAAGCTTGACAGAAATGCTAGATTGGAGAGTTGTCAGTGGAATTTTAATCCATTCCCATCACCTCCTACAAACAGTCATATACCCATTCGAGATGGCTATCCTCTAATAATTGTTTTCTTCTTCGGCTCTCAAGCCAAAAGGCTAAATGTCACGCCCCAGACCGCAATCCAAACGCGCGTACAACCGCCGTATAATCAAGTGACGTCACCCGCGAGTCAACCTCACTTAATTACACAAGGCGTTCGAGAAAATAATCCATCCATACTCAGTAGTAAACATACATAACAACTCACATTTAAACCAATGAATAGCGGAAATATTCAACGGTAAGTCATAAGCCACAACCGGCCAACAACATGGGCATGCAAGCCCCAAAAATAGTTTATAGTAGAACAAATATCCACGATCATGTGTTCGGTAGTTTGAAAGAAAATAAGGAAGCACGAACCACGTCTTCCTGAAGTTGATATCACCCGTAAGAAGGTGCAAGTAGCAAGCCCTAGCTTCAACCTGAAAATGGTGCCCCCCCCCCCCCCCCCCCCCCGAAGGGGTCAGTACAAGTACCGAGCGAGTAGCAGGCTAAATATAGAATAACTAGCGTTTCAAGTATAAGACCCAAACATAGGGTGATACTTATATAAATAGTCTTTTCCCCCAAGTTATGAAATACTTATTAGTATATATATATATACTTGGAAAATATCCGATCCGTAGATCACCGTTTTATTTGGGAAAAATAGTAATAGTCAATATTCTTGACTAAAAACCTCAACCCACCCATATACCTATGAGTGTATAGGACTCCTCCTTGTCCCTATTTCAATATCATAATCTATGAGTTTTGAGGATCATAATCCTTGGGCACTCCACCAATTTATATTTGAGTGTTAAGGACTTTTAGTCCTAGGGTCCTCCACCAATTTATTATACGAGTGTTAAGGACTTTAAGTCCTAGGGTCCCCACCAATTTATGAGTGTTAAGGACTTTTAAGTCCCAGGGTCCTCCACCAAAATATGAGTGTTAATGACTTTAAGTCGTAGGGTCCTCCACCAAGTTTATGAGTGTTAAGGACTTTTAAGTCCTAGGGTCCTCCACAAAAAATATGAGTGTTAAGGACTTTAAGTCCTAGGGTCCTCCACCAAGTTTATGAGTGTTAAGGACTTTTAAGTCCTAGGGTCCTCCACCAAAATATGAGTGTTAAGGACTTTTAAGTCCTAGGGTCCTCCACCAAAATATTTTTCTATGATCAACCTCCTATCAACCTAGATGGAGTCTATAACATATTTATTCAATCATAGCCAAATCAATACATAAAGCTTATGCATCACCATCCATGCAAAATCATGCATTTATATAAACTTGTAATTAACTAATACCAACCGGTATTAATTAATCCATTATCCATCGGTCAACGTTTCGTTGACCGCCAATTCGAGCCTTGTACATATCGACTTAATCATCGTATAATTAAGTTAATAATATTCATTTATGCTTCTTTTACACTTCAAGCCAATATGCATTTCATATAATTCCTCATATCATATTTCATGCATAAATAATTAATTCCTTTCATACAAACTTAACTATGTTGGCTAATCACATGTTTAAATATCTTTTAAACATCATTATGAACACTTATAACATTTATTTAGGTAATCTCATAATTAACCCAAAAGTTATAAGATATTAAGCCGTCCACTCACATCGAATTAGCGCTATGAAGTTCTACCCTCCTTGGTTGAACTCCGGCG